TATATATATATATATATATGTAACTTGTATTTCTTCTGAGAGCTCTTCTGCCTTAGATATCTGCTGCCGGCTTGTGCCCCTTGTGTATTTCACCCCGGACACAGAGGTAATATCCAGACACAGAGACCGTCATCATTAGTCAAACACCTTTATAAACACACAGGCTAAGAGGTGAGCGGAGATGGAAGCACCGTGTTGAGCATCATTTTAAAATCCGATTACACCGGTGCACTCTACCAGACGAGGCATCGAGCAAGGCATTACTCCCACGTAGTACCGAGTCATTAGAACTAGCGTGTAACAGATAGACGGCTTTATCAACCCGTTATCTAGCGGGGCACGCTGACTTCCGCACGCTTGCTTCTTCACCGGATGAAATGACGAAAGACCACAGCTTTGACCGTGAGCTGCCACAAACACTGAAATGATTTCTCAGTCAACTTTTCATTTCTCAGGGAAACGAATCTGCACAGACGGTTACAAATGAACAGTGTGGAGTCACTCACCAAGAATTTCATCAAAGATTTTGTACAGTCCAGGAACGTAGGTGATCTCTCTCTGGTTCATTCCGATGTCTTCATCAAAAACCCACATTTGCTGGAAAAAACGAAAGATATAAATACTTTTGAGTTGAGGGTGGACCACTCGTTGGTAGCAGTGATCATGAGAAATGCTGTCAAAGCAGCAAAGCAAAGAGTATGCAAATGAACAGAAAGGTTAACACAGTCAAGTGTAAACGTATTAGAAGTAATAGTTTAACAAGTTTTAAGCTTTAAATGATTGAACTGGCGGATACAACAAATGCCATTTCATTAGTATTCTTTAATTTCATCATCAGACGCATAAAACCTCGTGTTGATTCACAACTAAAACTGTGTGTGTGCACGCAAAGACAGACATATACAGACACATCGGCAGATTTATGAAGATGAACGTACGCCGGATTTTCTTTTATAAATCTCAAGCATTGCGGAACTAAATTAAATTCATTACTCATGATTTAAATTGTTTTATTTGTGCCTTTGGTTTTACAGCTGCATGTAATTTATCACTCTTAATTTAACATTTATTTGATTTAAAAACAGGATACGTATTTCCTGAACATATTTCACGCAGAAGCTACGTATTAAAATGTGATTTTAATGCCGTAAGATTATTTTAGCTATCTGTCTGAGTCTTCCAACGGCGTCGGGAACAGCTGAAGCGTCGAGCTGACTAGTTTTGATCACAGGTGGGCTTAAAGGGGCTCGTGTGTCCATCCTTGAAGGTCCGTTTGCTCCGGACTCACCTGGGTGATCGGCTCCACGGTACCGATGTACGTGTCCGGGCGGAGGAGAATGTGCTCCAGTTGGGTCTTCTTCTGGTACACTCGCTCCACAGACAACTTGGAGGCCGCCTTGTCTTTCTTGGCACCTTCCATCTTGCCAGCATCGCCTCGACCATTCGCAGCCTCCTGTTTGGCAGATTTGTTTTTGTTATTACACAAACACACAGAACTATGTGAAAAGTCTCTGGACCTGCAAGAATATTATCAGTGCACACCATCAAAGGGAAAACAGTAGACGTCTCTTCTAAATGTTCGAGAGCATGTGGGATTTCAAATAATCAGTAATAATGGATATACTTGCAATTAACATTTAATATGAAAGACAAGAAAATAAGCATTTGCCAGCCTCTGAACACACACACACACACACACATACACACATACACACACACACACACACACACACACACACGCACACAAGGGTTTTCAGTTTATCTGTCTGTTTAGATTAATTGATTGACATCTTCCTGTTAGCCTTGTTGAACCTTTTAGGACGAGAAAAATTGCAGCTTTCTCATTCATATTAGTAGATACATAAATCTTAAATTAAAATAAATCAGGTAGAATATTCCACAATACCAGCCAATGTTTCTTCAACGTTTGCAATGCTTTTCTGCAGGGAGAGTGGTGGGTTTAAAAGCTAATGTTCCTCCATCATAAGGAGCTATTTACTAGTAGTATGTACTTTACTGTGTTGTTACAGTCGCCATGTTTTTAGTGATCATGTTCATGAAAGTGCTGTGAAGGAAACTATGCTGAGATAATACTTTGTAATCAAAACCTGGTACGCTCACTTCCTTTTCAATGTAATGAAATAAAATGAATTAATGAAAGAGGAGCTTCACTGAGAGAAGACGTCTTCCATTCATTGTACTTATACTGTAATTACGTAGTACAATGTTCCAGTGTTTCCATTTTATGCTACATTATACTTCCACTCGACTACAGTTCAGTGGGACATATTGTACTCTACTGTAGCAGATTCTTAATACAAAATATACAAGTACATTGGGGTATATTATTGTAGGTTAGGATACCCAGCAGTGTATACAGCGAACACAATCTGCCCCATCTTTACCAGCTGTGACATTAAAGTGATGTACACAATGCATTATGCATCACTATTCATAATTCAGTGATTTAATATATAAGATTCTGAAATGGGCCATTCAGCACAATGTATATTTTTACTTCTGGTACTTAAAGTATACCTTGGCGATACTACTTCAGTAGGATTTTGAATAAATTATCATTTTGCTTGCTTTTAAATAGTATAGTATATTGCAGCACTGCTACATAATGAAAGTAGTAAGTTAACGTCATTAAGTTTTATTGTGTATTGAACATGTACTTACGAATGAACGAGACAACTTTCAATTGGAAGTTTTGTTAAGTTTAATTTGAGTGTTTTTGAGGATAGTAGCTATGGCCTCTTTGGTCCGTTGTATCTCGTTGTCCTCGAGATAAGATGTTATTACACATCTGTATAAATAACGGTAGCGGTCCTGTATCAGGGCTCACGCCTTTGAGACATAAATCAGGGTTTAAAACCCCGTGACACCAGCTGGCTGGTCTTTAACAAGCGTATTCTGGAAATGAGAATACGTTAATAACGTAAGAGGCTATTAACTACGTTAAATATGAGCTGAAGCAAAAGGTGCACATAGCAGTTTTTATGTGATACAAAAGCAACCATTCAGGTTATAAAACTGAGTTTATTTAACGATAAACTAGCTCACCATCCACGCGAGACCGCCGCTTCCTGCTGCTCCGTTGGACATCTTCTTCCTTTGTGGTCCTAATTTTTTTTAATGATGCCCCTCGTAAAATGTCTTCAATTCCGGTGGAATTTAAATGTCCGTCAGCATAACACATGTATCAGTTGCTGAAAGGTACCCGGACCTGTTTATCTTCCATGTTCTTCCTCAGTTTGCGTTAAAGGTAATCCTTTGAATGTATCAAAACAAAGCGGAGCAGGGGGGAGTGTATCGCGGCTATTGTTAAAATCGACCAGCGGAGGCAGTTAGGCCTAAACTTCCAACAAAGATGCTAGCGGGACTACTTGCTTCACAATAAATACGGTAAAAAAAATGCTCGCATTAAATAAGACTTACAATTACATGAGATAACACAACAGAATAAAATAGGAGTTCAACTCAAAAAGCTAAGAAAACGACGTACTTAAATACATTTCATTTAGAAATAAAAACGGAGATTAGCTAGCAGCGGCTCAGCTGTCCGGCTCCGCCATCTGCATGATAGACGGCGAATCGTCTCGCGCAGATAAAGCGACCAATCAGATGGCGGCTTTTCAAAAGCGCCGGTACCTCGACCAATAGGAAACGTCAATATTTAGTGGCCCATGGGGCTTTTTTTCCAACGCAAGATGGCGGCAAAAACGCCGAGCTTCATCATCAAGACTAACTAGACGTAACGAACACATTGCCATAGACATAGAGACTACCAGACTACAAAAAATATCTTTATTATCCTGTACCACCATATAATTCCTAACATTCGGCCCTTTCCACCACACTTACAACACTTAAACTGGCATAACACGGTGTAAAGATGCCATAGCCAAATATTAAATGACACACTCACCAACATTAATGAGCACAAAGCAGGAGAACTGGCGCAAACTAAGCTGACAAGGGCATCAACCCGGGTTTGCTGTGTGGAATGTCTCCATTTATCACAAATTAAAGACACATTCACAATGGCTTTTTATGTTTAAAACCATTTACATGTATATTTTAGACTTCATGTTGTAGAAGGTTATTTGGCCTTCAGTCAAAAATAATGTTTATATGTGACAACATCTGTACTCTGTGATAGGTACAGAATTCATGTCTTTATTAGGTCATGCATATTCAATCATCCTGGAGGTCTGACACACATTTAAATATTGCACTGATTTGTCATACAAAAACTATCATCCAGCAATTTTTGCGCTGAACTCGCCAGAGCGATCGACACTGAAAAAGACTTAAAACAACTGTTAAGCATCTTCCAAATGGATGAGGATTTCAAAGGAGGACTCCTCCGTCTCCTTCAAGCTTCGTCTGAAGAGCTGGGAGTGCTGCCATGACGTCTCCTCCTCTCCACCACTGAGCGCCGCTACAACCATGAACTCTGAGGAGCCGGAGAGACTCTGGAACGACTGCATCTTCCCGTCTGCGGGGGTTCAAACACAGGAGAGGAAATCATTAGGAGGGATCACGTCGCACATTGTATTCAATCGGAATATCTATTACATAACCATACCTCCGGAGAACTCTGTGGTACTCTGGCCCGCCTGCAAGTGCCAGCAGACTTTCCCAGAGTGGAAGGTCTGACTACTGGCCATGATCGAGACCGACTTTATCTTCATTCCCGCCGGAGAAAAGTCAAACTTCCAGCTAATTTTCCCCACAGAGGAGCCTTCTGTTCGAGCGATGTACACCTGAAGAAAGAAATACAATCTGGTCACGTTCAAAATAACATCAAAACAAAAGCATCATCATCAGAGTGCTTGTTTTGATGCTGGTGGGTCAACTGGTCTGTGACAAACAGAAGGTGCCTTCTCTAAACATAACCCCCCTCTCTTGTCTCGGCGTGGTTCTCACACGCTCTGATTAAATCAAACAATGACTACAACTTCTTTGAAAATGCAAATGTCACCTATTAGCATTCTAATGGGTCAAACAGGGCAAGCATCATTAAAGACACCACCCCCAACACACCTCTGTCCTTTGGCTGAAGAGGGAGTGAAATGCAGGACATCCAGGCTGAGGGACGGCTTTTATCTTCAGGCTATCAGACAGTTTCACATATCTAATCCACTGTCCCCTCCCACCCGAACCCACTGCACCATACAGGAAGCTTCACTTAGCATGTCCATGATAGCATTACGCTAGTACTAAATACAGCCTCAAAGAGCAGCTAGTTTAGCCGGACTCTTCTCTTAATCTTGTTTTAATTTGTTGATCACAAATACCCAAACTTTATGTGAGCAAAATTATACATTTTTTCTAAAGTAGCCTTTTCTGAGTGATAGCTTACCCTTGTGTTTAAGTTAAAAATCGCTGAACCTGTTTTCTGTGCCGTTTAGAACTAAATGAGAGTTATATAACATTCCCTCTATTATTGTACATTTACCAAAAATGCATGATGAAGGTCTTCTTATACAGTACTTTGTTGAGTGTTTCCATTTTAAGTTTTCACTCCCCAAAAGCATTAAGAATGTGTCCTATCCTGAGCCATAGAATACTAAAACCCATGGGTTTGTTAGTCAGACGATAATAAACGTACCATCTGCCAGTCGTCTTCCACCTTCCTGAACACCGACTCCTTCCTCCACACACACTGATCCCAGCTCTGAACAACCTCAGAGTTGTTGGACACTCGACAGTACTGGTCTTTGGTGGCACTGTAGCGCACATGCAGCAACCGGTCGCTCTTCTCTTTCTCAGTAGGAGTGAACACATAACCTGTAGCCTGAGAAAACACACACACACAGCAATAAAGATCATGTTGCTGATGAGAAAAGGCTGATTAAAATACATATAAAGACATGAATCATTAGATACATAATGCTGAGTGGAGTAAGCTCAATTATAACACCATGTATAACAAACTGTACCTGTGTGGAGGTCCCTGCATCAGCCTTTCTGGTCTCCCCCCGTGCTATCCTCCAGGCCAGAGAGCCAGAGTTGCGTCCGCCAAGCTCTCCTTGTTTAGGTTTTTTGGGGGAAATAAACTCCACCAGCTCGACAAGCAGCCTCTCTGTCAGCTCCTTCTTCCTGTCTGGACTGAAGGTCTGCTGCCTCTTCAGTAACAGAGCAGATGGACAGTGCTTTACTTACTTATCAGACTCAACGCGACAGTCAGTCTTACAAGTGGAGTTTAAAAGGGTCAAGCTTTACCGAGACATTAAGTCCAGTAATGGTGTGCAGCAGCCAGGCCTCCTGAACTCTGGTCCTTCTCGACAGAACCTCTGGATGTTTGCAGGAATACCTCCACGTCACATCAACGACCTGCATCACAAACAAATGCAGAAGTATGAACGGTCTGATCCCGCTGGAAGAGTGTTCAGGCCTAAACTACAGTAAACAGTGCACAGCTCTTAGCTTACTGGCCCAAAGGGAGTGTTAAGCATTACAGGTGAAAATAAACTACCACATAAAATAAAATAAATAATATCAAATGACAACGTTTTCATTCACACCGAGCATCAGAACAGCCGCAGTGTTTTATGTCCAGACTCAAAACAATCCATAAAAGAAAACACCATCATACAGGAATTCTGTAATTACCATCTGCATGACATATAATCATAAAAAAACATTGTTGGCTCTGATCATTTCATTGAATGTAAATAAAATGTTACTTAAATGTTAATTTGGCAATTTTTTTAACTAACCCCCAGAAATAAGACCAAAATCTAAAGTGAAAATAAAACTGTATTGACACCGCTTTAGATTTTAACGACTGATTAGTACTAACAGTTGTAGTAGAAGCAATGATAATATGCATTTGTCTGACCTGGTCCTTGGAGAAAGCCAGAACGTAAGCCAGTTTCTTCCCCCAGCCAACCTCGTACAGGAGAGGATTATCACAGCCGTTCTCACACGAGTCACAGTGCAGCCAGCGACGCTGAGAGACCGAGTAGATCTCTGTCCACACATGGTCTGAAACATCACAGAGAACCAAATCAATGAGCCTCTCATACAGCACGTAAGAAAGTACATTTTGTGATGTAGTAAAAATGTGACGACATGTTCCTAATATATGAAACTCAAGTGTGCAATATAATTAGTATTAAATATCTTAAATGGGTACTCTTTAAATGGTAAAATAATTAGTTTCAGTGTTTCACAGAATCTATTCTTGAAGGCAGAGTTAGCTCATTCTAGACCTTGTGAACAGGTCAACTATTGGTTTCCATTTAGCTTGTAAACTGGCTATTTCCATTATTGATGAATCAGTTGATTACTTTTAGAGCAACAGTTCAACCTAAAGATATCCAGTTCACTATCACTAAAGACCAAGGAAAGTCTTTGAGCCACATCTGTCAGTCTCGTATGTACCTGTGCTGTCCCAGATATATCTGGCCTCAAGGCCAAGGGCTCTGCAGCACAGAGTGAAACAGTTAGCCCATTCCCCACAGCGCCCCCTCCTGGTTTCAAGAAGCTTCTCAGGGTTGTTGTACCTGGTATTAATTAACAACAGAGAGAAAAATCAATCAAAGCGTTCATTATTCTCCATATGTTTTGTGGTCAAATTCATTCATAGTCTTTCTAACTGTTTGCAGGAAAAATGTTCCATACCATTTTAAAAACAAAATAAAAGCAGTAAAAACCTGCCTACCTCTTTTTGCAACTTAATCCTAATTTGAATATTACTTCAAAAGATGATCCTTAATTCCTTTATGAGAGTAGTAAGAACTAACCACACACAGACCTGGGGAATCTGGTGGAGAGCTGGCAGCTCTGACAGTAGTGGTTCTCCACTCGCTGGGCTCCCCAGCGGATGTCATCGGGGGTGGGACTGAGGGCCGTGGTGTTCTGGGTCTTGCCTTTGCATTGGCTGCAGGGCAGGCAGTCCACCCAGGAGAAGAAGTCCTGTTTGAACCATCTGAGCAACTCCAGCACCAGGAAGTCTTCCATTCCAAGTTTACATTCTGCACAGAGGAAAGCAAATCAGAGGGTCCCTTTGAATCACTCTTTAATGCACATCTTTATCTGCATACAGTACAATCCATATATACAACTGATTCTTTTGAGTGACTAAGGGGACTTCACCTGGATCCGCCTCTTTCGCCTCCTTCAGCTTGTGTTCAGCAGCAGAGGACAGCTGCTGGTGAGGGATGTGGCTCCTGGCTTTCTGCTGCAGCTCAAGGTTTTCATAAAGAATCACGTGTTGGAAGTTTGACTGGAGGGTCAGAAAAAAGCTCATACTGTTCTCCTGACAAGACAAGAAAACATCCAGATTACACAACTGCAACAACCTACACCCAAATATCCTAAAATAATAAAACAGTATTATATTAAAGAGTGGCAACGCATTAAGAAGTTATGTTGAAGTTCCCTAATTTATAACCCTAAATCTTGTTTATTTTTTGATAATCACTGTAACCACCAATGAGCATATTTGAAGCAGAAATACCAATTTCAAGAGCATATTATTTTGCAGTTAATCTGGCAAGGGTCGACCTTTCTGAATACCTGTGGTCACATTATAAATGTTTTGTGTACACAAACCAGGGCTTTGACATGCTCTAAAGCAGGGGTCTCAAACTCATTTTCACTCTGGGCCACATCAGCGTCACGGTCACCCTCAAAGGGCCAGTTGTAAATGTAAGACTGTGTAAATGTAACTACTCCTAACATATTGGTAATTAACTGTCTCTGCATTTGATTATTGTTTATTCAAGTGTGAAAATATTGTACATGCAGTTATATAAATGTAAAAATATATTTCAGCACATTTCTATTATAATTTAAATCCTTTTAATTTAGGGTTCAGAAACCCACATTACTCTATCAAAGATCAAACTATTAAAGAAAATAGCAAAGATAAATATCAACACAAGTTATTACAATGACTTTGTTCAAAGCTGAAAATCCTTTCAAGGGTGCGTTTGCACAATCCCACGTGATGCATTTCATGTGTTGTAAAGCCACGTTTAAAGTAGTCTTCAATGTACTCACAATACATTTCCATATCAAGTGTACAGTAACCAGCCAAAGAGCTGCTTCTATGACTGTGTGTTAAAGTATCTCATAATTGTGACTTTCTATCATAGTTATGACATTCTGTCTCATAACTTCGACTTTCTATCTCATAATTTCGACTACGGGGATATTTTTATTATCAAGTCAAACTTTTAATTATTTAATTTTTTATTTAATTCTTTTTTTTACTTTTTGCTGGCGGATTTGCGGGCCACATAAAATGACGTAGCGGGCCTTGAGTTTGAGACCCCTGCAAAGCAATGTGGATCCCACCCTCCTTATCTGGCAAATTGGCATTAATTAGGGTTTCACATTATTAAGTTTAGGTATCTATCATAAAACTTGTTGACTCTTAATTTGATATAAAAATGATCCTAGCCAAAGAGAACAAAGTAAGTTAAGGTGTCTTCAGCATCCCTGTGACTCTGCTACAGTAATATTACAGCGTAACACTTCAGATATGTTCAATCACAGTTCCTGCCATTTAAACCGGGGAAGAGCACATCTTTACCAAGGATGAAGGCTGCGATGGAGGTGGTGTAACTGGCTGGCTGGAGGCAGCAGCGGAGCTCTCTGGTGCTGAGGCTGAGGGTGAGACTGAGGCGGAGGCCAAGGGTGCGACAGTCTGAGCAGTAGGTTGGACAGGCTGTCCTCCACGCTGTCTCTGATCCCTCTCTGCTGCTATAGAGTCCCTGATGAGCTTCAGCTGTTCCACGGATGCAGAATTGGGGAGCACCAGGTGTGTTTCAGCCTGAAAAGGAGGTGCAAGAGGTCATAAGATTTACTCACAGTTGGGCAAATGAGAGACGAACAACTAGACCATAGACAATGAACCAAGTGGTACAACGTCTTTAACTCATTACAGCAGCCACCTGGCAGTTACTTAATTAATTACCTCCTCAAATCCCATCTCAAAAAGGCATTCCACCGCACCTTTGATGGGCAACAGCTTGGTGAAGAATGTGGGGTTGCCTATGCGGATCGACCTGTACTTTTCCTCATCGGGATACCTGTTGGAAGATGACATCATATGAGGAAGTACAGCTGTTCTCGAGGCCTTTCAGAAAATATAGTTTGTTCCTCTCAGGCAGAAAAAGACACATATATACAAACCAATGAGGTATGTGTTCATGAATGAGGAATATACACACAAATCATGAAATTGGTCTCACTAGATTCACTTGTGTTGTTCATTGTACAAGTAACGTTACAGCTAAATTAGCTCTACCGGCGGTTGACACGATATTAACAAACTTTACTTCATTTGTAATTCACAGAAAGCCAACACACCGCTGTTGTATTGCGTTGCTAAATTCACAAACCTTACCTTAAAATGTTATCCGCGTATGTGAGTAACAACTTCGCAACGCCTAGAAAGACTTCGTTTGGATTTTCACCTAGTGTCGTCACTGCTGGTGACAAAGCCATGCTGGTATTTCCTGAACAAACTAAAAAGTCCTTTCCCTTTAGAGTATCAGGGCTAGCCTTAAAGCTAAAGTAGCTATTTTGGCTAGTAGATGTTTTGGGTCCTGTTTTTAGCTGACCCATCAGCGCCTGAATACGTTTTTGAAGCTTTAAATAATGTAGATAATGTTTAATTTATTTTATAAATTGTGTTTCATTACATATAATCACCTGTTTCCTTCTCTGTTGGTTTGATTATATTTTAAAATGTGATATTTACATGTTAAACAAATCCGGCATTCAAAATTGCTACCTAAGAATCGCTACGGAGTGATTCAAAGATAGATTTTCTCGCTTTACGAATGCAATGAGAATTGACAGTTAACTTTGAAGCGGTGCTCGGCCGGGTAAGTAACACACTTAAGTCCAGTTGCGTCTGTAAGCACGTTTAAACTTTGATTTTGTACATTTATTCTTCTGTCATTAAGAGGGGGATTCACCAAAGCTGCAAGCAAGCTGTGTGAAACTTGACAGATACAGCAGCATGTCTGCTCTATCACTATCCTGTTGGACTAAACTCCAGCTGAGGCCACATAACATGGGGGCACTTCTTAAAAAGACCGTCTGTGTTTGTCCAAACCAAGACTCCAGACGCTGCACCTCTGGAAAGCACAAGAGGAGGGTTGTCATAACTGGCATAGGGTTAGTGTGTCCTCTGGGCACAGGGACTGCCCTCACCTGGGACCGCCTCATTAAAGGTCAGAGTGGGATTGTTGCCCTTCACTCAGAGGAGTACAGGTCTGTTCCCTGTAGAGTGGCGGCACTGGTGCCCAGAGGAAATGACCAGGGAGAGTTTAAGGATGAGATGTTTGCCTCTCATGGGGAGATCAGCAGCATGTCTCCCGCCACTGTGATGGCCCTCGGAGCAGCTCGGTTGGCCCTGGAGGACTCAGGATGGCACCCCAAAACCCCAGAGGAACAAGTCAACACTGGGGTGGCGGTTGGCATGGGCATGGTGTCATTGGATGAAATCGCTCGCACCGCCGTCGCCTTCCAAGAAAAGGGCTACAAAAAAGTCAGTCCCTTCTTTGTGCCTCGCATCCTTGTCAACATGGCTGCCGGACACATAAGTATCAGACACAAACTGAAGGGTCCCAACCATGCAGTGTCCACAGCGTGCGCCACAGGTGCCCACGCCATAGGTGATGCCGCCAGGTTCATTGCCCACGGGGATGCAGATGCAATGGTCACAGGGGGAACAGAGTCCTGTGTGGGGCCTCTGTCAGTAGCCGGCTTTGCCAGGGCACGCGCCCTCGCCACCAAATGGAACGACGACCCCACGCGGGCGTCAAGGCCCTTTCACCCAGAGCGAGAGGGCTTTGTGATGGGCGAAGGAGCGGCAGTGCTCCTCCTGGAGGAGCTGGACCACGCGGTGAAGAGAGGAGCCAGGATCTACGCAGAGATCCTGGGTTATGGACTCTCTGGCGATGCCAGCCACATCACCGCACCCACTGCAGATGGAGATGGAGCGTTCAGGTGACTCTTTTTAGTTTGCTTTGTTTGTTCAAGCACGCAAGAGACAACCTTTTGTGCTTGCATTTTCTATTCTCAAATATTTGATGCCACAAAACTAGTGTGTACAAATGTGTTTTGTATTGGACACCGTACAATTTCAAGGAGGGGGAAAAATACAGGAAAAAAAAAAACACCACAGTGGACGGCTATTAAAATAAACAACTCTGGCAATCGAACATAGTACCCCAAGAGATGTTGCACTCCAACACCAGATTTGGCTTGTTATACTTGGGGCATTATTATAAAACCACATTTTCAAAAGCAGTAGACTGTATGTGGGCTTTTCCAATTACGTAAAATAAACCTGGCTGTAACAATAAATCCTGTTCAGTTGGGTGGTATTTCGTTTTGGTTTGTCACTACAAGAGATGCCTTTCACATTACACATAGTCATTTCATTCGTAGTTTCAACTTTGTCCACTGTTTTTACAGATGCATGTCTGCAGCCCTCAGAGACGGCGGCGTCTCACCGGCAGACGTGACGTACGTGAACGCTCACGCCACGTCGACGCCTTTGGGCGATGCGGCCGAAAATGCCGCCATCAAGAGGCTCTTCCAGCAAAGAGTTGACAACCTGGCCGTCTCCTCCACCAAGGGAGCCACCGGACACCTGCTCGGGGCCGCGGGGGCCCTGGAGGCGGCGTTCACCGCTTTGGCCTGCTACCACGGAGTCCTGCCCCCGACCCTCAACCTGGACCGGACCGAGCCGGAGTTCGACCTGAACTACGTCCCCCGCACTGCGCAGCCATGGCGCGTTCAGGGCCGGCGGGTCGCCCTCACAAACTCATTTGGATTTGGCGGCACCAACGCCTCACTGTGTCTCACCAGCGTCTGATGACACAAGTCTTTATTGTGTATTCTTTACAACTGGTAGAGTTTCACTGATGGAATATCTTTCTGTAGAATTGATAAGAACTACTAGTTGTTTGTGTGTTCTTATGAACTGATTTAAGGAAAATGACATTTAAATGTTTCATGAAAATGTTCAAATTTAAAAATGTGAGTAAACTGTGTTATGGATCTGGCTCGTGTGTTTCTCTGCTCCACAATATTATTGTCAATATTTACAGGCTTGTGACTGGAAGGATCAATCTGGGTGTGGAAAGTAACCAATCCACCCTTGTTTCTCACTCATTACCACTACCGAGGTGCCGTGGAGCAAGGCTCCAATGAAGCCGCTCAGTGGCCAACGGATTTACAGATTAAGGTGTGGATTATATATTATTAAAGGAATAGTTAAAAATGCTCGGTATAATTTCCTAAATCCACAGGTTACACTTCCTCTGTCTGACCAACTATCTAAACATATTTAATTTACAATTATATAAAGCAAAGCAGAAAATCTTGAACTTTTCTTTCATTACTTTTATAATTATTTGATTTTCAAAATAGAAATAGTTGCTTATTTATTTTCTGGTCAGCGATTCCAATAATTGTTTTATAACCACACAAGCAAAAAAGGTTGAGAACACTTGTTTAATATCTGCAACTATATGTTGTATTTTATAAAATATATATATTTTTTAATGTAGAATCTTAATCTGAAAAGTAACTAGTAATAGTAGCCGTCAAAGAAATGTAGTGTAGTCAAAAGTACATTATTTCCCAGTGGAGTTGAAGCCTATAAAAAAAGTACCTCAAAATTGCCCTTAGGTTCTGTACTTTAGTAAATGTACTCTTCCACTTCCTACAAGTATGACCCATTCCCAACACCTTTGTTAAATGAGCGTTTCACCATTGGACCTGGAATATAGACTGAGCTCAACAGTCTATATTCTGAATCAGATGTATCTGTATTCCAGCAGGTGGCGTTGGTTCACAGCGAATCATGCGTGTTGCTTTCATGCACATTTCCAAAGCATTTAGCGTTTTAGACATTCAGCAGACACTTTAGTGCAACAGAAAGATAAACACCACGTTTACAAGCAGCACAAACTAATTTGAGGTCTTCCTCTGAGATCCCTTAGAGCTTTTCCAAGTGCTCTGAAGAGAAGCAGCAAGAGAGACTCAGAAAGCTTTTAGATCCATTAGATTGAGAGGAAATCATCCAATTTAAGAGGTTGATATGAATAATCATATTAGGAAGATAATATATAATTGCCTCTTGTTAGCTTCCTATATCCAAGCTGTGTTTTCTTTAAACAGGAAACCAGACGCCTCAAATCTTGGACAATTTATTGCAATTAGGAAATAAGTGGTGCTGTAGGTGTGTGCAGCCGACTTTAATAACATCCTAATGGAGGCCGATCTAACAGTAGTGCCTTTTGTGATCACGTATGAAGGCACTTTCAAAACCAAGACCTCTGACTCTGTGTTGTTGTCCTTTAGATTCGGCCTTTTATTTTAATTTTGCAATTCACAACTTGTGAAAACAGCAAGGGATGACCCGAGCAGAGGGTAAAAGAGGTTAAATAGTATCGTTATATCAGGGTTGAATGAAAGAAATCCCCGAAGGGAAAAGGACAGGTTTCCAGGTTAACACTAACATCGTTAGTGTCTGGCATCCTATAGGTGAAACATATGTCTATGAAGGGACAAAGAGTGGCCATTGTTGAGACTATATGTGTGTTTACATTTTCCATGACGATTTTGGGCGCTGTGAGAGTGATTTAAGTCATACAATTAAAGACAAATCTCACATTTTATGTATTTAATTTAATTATTTTGAACATGTAACAAGTAAAAACCAAAATAACAAATAAAAAGAACGTTAAACATGTAGCAAACTCTTAATATACAAATTCTAATAAAGAATATAGAAAACAACGTAAATATATATTACATGTGCAAAATGCTCCTACTTCCTCAAGCAATTAACTTACTATTCATTTCACAATTCATAAACAATTATCCCAGTTCTATTATGCATATACCCAAATATGTTCATCCTACCAACCCTTCCTCATCCCTAAACCACTGAGAGTATGAGAGAAAATGGTTTTAGGATATTGTTAGTGGGCAGCCATTAAACAAGACTAAAGCTTCATTAGTGGCTCCAGACGGTGTCCGTTACACACCACACAAGACCATTTCATTGTTCTCGGAGTGTTGCAGGAATAAATTGACATGTTTGCAAATACATGCATTTTATGTTCCGTATTCATTTTAAGGCTAACCATGATGTTCTTTCATGAACCTAACTAAATTGTAGTAAGCCTTGAAGAGGCCGTGGCCATTTCAAGTATTTCTGTGAGATCACATTGGCAAAGACACACAAAATCACTACAAAAAGGGGAAAAACAACCTCAAAGAGTCACAAAATGACAACAAAGACACACTACACAACAACAAAAACAGACTGAACAACTTTTAAGTCTGTGTCTTGCTCCAAGGAGAGGTGATGAGGTCTTTTGCATGTCTGTGCAAAGGGGCTCATTGTCTCATAATCCACCCATGATTCTGTCAGTTGATATTACTTATTCCCAAACTCCCAAAGTTATAAATAAGTTATAATTAATTAAAGTACCGCAAACTTGGCCCTTACCCGCTTTGCCCAGTTGGTAATTGATGTTCTAAGTTAGAGAACAAATTCTAAATTAGATTTTGGCCTCGATGGTGGTGCTTCAAGAAACATTAGATTCATCCTCTGGGTACCATGAATGTCCGCAGCCAAAGCCTTGGAACAAGCCTAACAGTTGAACAGATAGCCAGTCATGGAAACAAAGGTGTTTTAAGCCTGTAAAATATTTGACTTGTTGCTACATTAAAAGGTCAAAGGGTTACCAAATCATCATGATTCATCTTCTGGGGACCATGAATATCCATCCGAATGTTGTGGTAATAAGGACAGTAGTAGAAATATCCTGATTTGGACCAAATGGACTGATCCACAAACCAACTAACTAAAACCAACATCTTAAGATCCTGCAGCCAGGGGATGAAATAAACATAGATGTTGCATGGATTTATTTTAATCATGCTCCTTATATATTAAATATACCTTCAATTTGCTCACACTGTCTCTCTGTTTTGATGCCTATATAAGTAGTGCATGAAGTTTCACACTGAAACCTTCGCCTCCTGATCTGTCTGTGGCAAGCTTGGACATTTTGCTCTGCATTTCACTTGATGAGTAATTGTACTGTCCCAACTGAATTTAGTAGCATGATGTAAAGCCGGACCCAGATGATGAATCACTGTACTGGGGAATGTCGTTCCAGACCCATTTTTAGAGATTACGTTGTATTAGCTCCTCTGGATGTCACATCCAGCTAATGAATAAATCAATTATTCATCCATTTTTTAATTTGAAATAATCTGACATAGATGAATGAGTTGCAACAAAGCTTCTTTTTTTTTGTTCGCGTAAGAAAGGAAAGCCCGGCATCTTCATGGGGAATATTTTGGCCTCGGGTCTCGTACATCACTCTCTGTCCAGCTCTGGTTTCTTACCCTGATGCACTGTGCGTGAGTCGGTGTTATTCAGCAGTTTGTGACTCTGCATCATTGCAGCGAGAGCTAACATGCTCCATTGATTCGTTACATTATGGAATAAATTATAACCACTGTACCGTTACATGCACGAGGTTTTCAACCTTTAAATAATAGGAATGGATATTTATGCCAAAAAAAATATTACAGCATGACACGCACAGACTGGAGGACGATGATTTTGCAGCAGCACTGCATCATGATGATGATGATGATGATGCATGTTTCCTCCCCTGCCCTGCGTACTCTGAGAGAGCTAAGTGTACCCATTCCACTAAACTCCATATCAATAGTGCCGAAGCTGGGCAGGAACTATTGATTCCTGTTGCCGTAATGATGACTTTCTTTCGTTCATGTTATTCCTTCTTCTTCTTCTCTTCTTTTTTTACATCCCTGCCTCCTAATTAAGGAGACATCCAAGCTGAATTATGATCGCCATGGCAACAGAGTCAGCATGTATTCCCTTTGATATCACCCTGTCCCACATGGAGCACAGTTTATCACCAGGTTCTAAAATTAGACCTCTCTCTCTCTGTCTCTCTCTCTGTGTCTCTGTCTCTGTCTCTGTGTCTCTGTGTCTCTCTCTCTCACTCTCTCGCTCTCTCTCTCTCTCCCACTGGATGGTCTTCATTCCTCTGCTGTGGTCATTATACAGATCCAATGTTTTGGCCTTTTGTTCAGTTGTGGAATGCTTTGGATTTTTTAGCCGATCAAATGGACTCAGGATGTTGCAGTAATACTCTTTTTTAAACACATTATAGTGCAATTGAATGTATACTTATCCGATTAGTTAAGGGTCGTCTGAGTGGTCATGAGATGATTAACTTTAATCCAGTCACCTGGGGTCTCCTTCTCTTCCCAATGACTTCATATCATTGTTTTCTGTTTTAATCAGTGCTTTTTTTCAATATCAATGTATTGACCCGAGACCAGTTCTGCATAGGAATTGTTTTTGTGATCAACTTTTTATTGACTTTGTCACATGAATCTCATTGTACATGAAGTACCTTAGACAAGAGTATTTAACACAAACTACATGCCTTGCATTGAACATTTTAAATATATAAAAATAAAATAAATTAAAAAAAATACCTATGCATTTTTAATAGATGGAACTCTTTATTGAGGCCATGGCTCCTAATTTAAAGTGTCACACTATCAGGGGGTTTGGCATCTGTCAGTCATTTTGAAGGAGACAGGTTCTCTCATGTCTGTGTATTTTTGTTTCAACACAGTATGCAAATTAATTGTAACTTTGCTTAAATAATAATACTTTTTTTATATTTATATTTCTTTCAGATGACATTGATTACATAGCTGATAGTGGTTTGAGAGGATATAAAAAATACATTTTTATGGTTGTTTCTGACAGTAATTTATTCTTCATCTGTACATTATTCCTTGAAAATGTGTTGCTAAGACGAGGGTTAACAAGAACAAAATTATGTTACATGAAATTATATATTTTTTCTGTTGACTTATTCTTCAGGGTTTTAAAAATGAAGCGCACACGAGTGTAACTGTTGACAATGAGTCACGAGTTGAGGGTCACACCCCTGAACGGTTGGGAACTATGTTTCCGTTGATTC